GGGACGGTGCTGCTCTTCTTTTCGGTTCAGGCTTTCTCCTCTGCCTCTCTTCCAGTTACTACTTCTCATCCCAAAGAACCCAAGGCTTCTCCCCAACTTTGCACTCCTTCAGGGCCCTACCAGGTAACGGCAAGTTAAATGACAACAGTACCAACAGCTTGACATGTAAAATCATTTCTGGAATGAGGCAAAATACGAGGTGGTGAAAGAATAAAGGCAAATAAATAAATAAAGTTGCTGTATTGAGATATCAGTGCTCATGTTGGTTCATACGTTATTCTTCCTACACAACTTTTGAATTTCCCTAAGAATATTGAGTACATTCAGACAAATTTAATACGTTCATGGATGAGCTGGTTTGGAGAAGAGGGGACTTTTGGTGCAAGAGAGGCTACGCACATCCAAGCTCTGAGAGACCTGTCTAAGTCATTTGCACTTTCTTGTGTGAACTCTCAAAGGTACTCTCTGAATCCATTTTCTTCATTTGTAAAATGAGAAACATTAACAACTATTTTATATGATTTTTATGAAGATTCAAAAGGATCTACTATGTGCTAAGTAATCACCAGTCACTCGAAATTTAGCTATGATAATAATTATTTCTATTGATGTGTGCCCATTAAGAAATCCATTCTAGGATTTTAACAAGTAAAAACAAATTTACCCCAGCCCTTTGTTTGAGCCAATGCTTCCGTTTTTAACTAGCTGCAGAATTTTTTTTTTTTTTTTTTTTTTTTTTTTTTTTGAGACGGAGTTTCGCTCTTGTTACCCAGGCTGGAGTGCAATGGGCGATCTCAGCTCACCGCAACCTCCGCCTCCTGGGTTCAGGCAATTCTCCTGCCTCAGCCTCCTGAGTAGCTGGGATTACAGGCGCGCGCCACCATGCCCAGCTAATTTTTTTGTATTTTTAGTAGAGATGGGGTTTCACCATGTTGACCAGGATGGCCTCGATCTATTGACCTCGTGATCCACCCGCCTCGGCCTCCCAAAGTGCTGGGATTACAGGCTTGAGTCACCGCACCCGGCTGGCTGTAGATTTTTAATGTTCTGAGAGTGCCATCAGTAACTCAGGAAAAAAAAAAAAAAAAAAGGGACCCACTCTGATTAATCAATCCTGTTTTTAGCCACAGAGGTGTTGCTAAGGGAAAGAAAAGAGAGCAGAGGAATAGAAGGAAATCTATTCCGGCAAGTAACATTGGAAAAAATCTACAGGTCTAGAATATTCAGCTTAAAGTCTTTATTACCCTTTATGTTCTGGCAAATGATAATAATACTAGCTTTTACTAGTATGCTAGGCACTGTCCTTATCAATTCCCAGGATTCACTCACTTAATCCTCATAATTTATTATTTTGCACAATGAAGAAATCGAAGCACAAAGAATGAAATAACCAAACTCATGAGAACAAATGGCAGAGCTGTACTTTGAACTTGAGTCAGGCTCCACGGGTACATAGTGATATTTCAACACATGCAATTTAGAGTGATCAAATCATGGTAGTTTGCATACTCATCTCAAATATTTGTCATTCTCTTTGTGTTGAGAATGCTCAACGTCCTCCTTCTAGCTATGTTATTATTTTGTTTTTGATTTTGATTTTTGAGACAGAGTCTTGCTATGTTGCCCAGGCTGTAGTATAGTTGCATAATCTCATCCCATTGCAATCTCTGCCTCCTGGGTTCAAATGATTCTCCTGCATCAGCCTCCTGAGTAGCTGGGACAGCAGGCACCCACTGCCACAGCAGGCCATTTAAAAAAATATATATCTAGCTAATTTTTGTATTTTTAGTAGAGATGGGGTTTAGAAGAGAAGGGGTTTCACCATGTTGGCCAGGTTGGTCTTGAACTCTTGACTTCAAGTGATCCACTCACCTTGGCCTCCCCAAGTGCTGGGATTACAGGTGTGAATCACTGTACCCAGCCTCTTCTAGCTATTTTAAATTATTTATTATTAACTATAGTCATTATACAGTGGCATAGAACACCAGAATTTTCATTTTCCTCTTGCTCCTCTCTATCCCCGTGCCTTGCCAAACATCTGCCCAAGTTGTCAACCCACCTGAGCAAACCTGAGCAAAACTAAGTTTATTTTTTTAAGGACACCTCCTTTTCTACTCACTAACATTTTAAGAAAGTTCAAATCTTTTCTACCCAGATCACAAAATGTCTCTGGGTACATGACACAGAATGGATTCTTTTTGTTCTCCTTGGTACAGAGGTAAGTGTCCAGACAGCTGCTTCATAGCTTCACTGTCACCTTTTAGCCTGGTTATCCCACGGTGTTAATTAAGAGTTTACAGCTATTGACTAAAGCAAGCGCCTTGTACAAGACAATGGCAAACTGGTCAAGGAGACTTTCTTTAATGAGTTCCAACTAAATAGCTTTGGTAAAAGTGTCTACTTGCTATGACAAAATACCATGGGTTCCTCAAAATAGCTTGATTTTTAAAAAACTTAGTAGACTAATTCAGTGTCGTCTTTAAACTACCACTGACCTCTCATTTTCCTTTGTCTGGACTCCATCTCAGTAAAAATAAACCCTTTTAGCTGGCAGATATTCTCAGTTAACAAGCCTGCATCAGATAATACAAAATACAAAATAATGGGCAAAACAAAATAATAGAACATTTGTGTGTGCATTGTAGTGAATAAGTGATTTAGAATATGTATCATTCACAATATATGTCACTGCCAGAAATAATGAGGAGGGACATGGCTTTACTTTTGGTTTCTAAATGAGAAAAATACTGTCAAAAACTATGACCCAACAGCTATGTTAATTTTTTCTTCTACATTTTCATAGAACAAATTACTCATTTAAATATCGACTCAGGATTCTATTTTTTTTTTTTCACTGTCACAAAACATTAGTGAGTAGACTCATTGTTTTTTTTTTTTTTTTTTTTTTTTTTTTTTTGAGATGGAGTTTCGCTCTTGTTACCCAGGCTGGAGTGCAATGGCGCGATCTCGGCTCACCGCAACCTCCGCCTCCTGGGTTCAGGCAATTCTCCTGCCTCAGCCTCCTGAGTAGCTGGGATTACAGGCACACGCCACCATGCCCAGCTAATTTTTAGTATTTTTAGTAGAGACGGGGTTTCACCATGTTGACCAGGATGGTCTCGATCTCTTGACCTCGTGATCCACCCGCCTCGGCCTCCCAAAGTGCTGGGATTACAGGTTTGAGCCACCGCGCCCAGCCGACTCATTGTTAAATAGTAATATTCATCGCCTATCACTCACCCATTAGCATGATTGAATTGACATTCTTGTGGCAATTACCATGAATTATCTATTTCTACCATCCTGTCTTCTCCCAGTACCAGGCATTGTGGATGTTTGCAAAATCACAGAGAAGGACAGAAGACAAATTGAGCTTCCTACCACCTCCATTACCAGAGCATACTATCTCATTTACTGCTTCCACCCACCCTATAAAGTATGCACTATTATTAAAACCATTCCACAGAGGAGAAAACTGAGACTTAGAGACATGGTGTAAGTTGCCCAGGATCACACAACTGCTGAGTAGCAGAGCTAGAATTCAAATCCAGGTAATCTGAATTTAAAACCCACATGCTTAACAGTTTAACTCTACTCCAGAGTTTCTCAGCCTCGGCATTGTTGACACACACGGCCGGATAATCCTTGCAGTCAGGGCTGCCCTGTAGGGTGGTAAGATGCTTAGTGGCTTAGTGGTATCCCTGGCCTCCGCCCACTACATGACAGTAGCCCCTTTTCTCCCTTGCTTTCCACCTCCAGTTGTGGTAGCCAAAAATGTCTCCAGATATTACCAAATGGCCTCTAGGGGGCGAAATTGCTGCCCCACCCGTGGTGGAAACCACTGTTCCTCCTAACCCCTCTTTATTCTGATCACATAAGCTCATGTCATTAAACAACTTTTAGAAATATAATTTTAATGGCTGTGATAAATTTTATTGAATATTAAATTAGTGCTACACTTAAAATATTACTTTTGGTTAATAAAGAAAAAAATATATTTGAAAACTTAAAGCAATCAGGTTCTTGTTTTGCCACTAAAATAATAAGCAGGAGGTGATTTATATTGCAAAGACTAACTTTATTCTTTAAAATGTATCACCATTTTTTACCCAGCATACTTCTGAAGATAAAATGAAGGAGATTTGTGTTAGTAACAAATCTCTTTAATAGTGAAAGAGTTTAGTTAGTTACTGTAAACAGGCATGGCCTAAGTCAACAATCAAATGCAATATTATTGCATGCATATATTTCTGAAAATGAAAATAAATTCATCACTGACATTTATAAAACTTCAAAATTCTATTATTTTTCTAAAATGTCTAATGAAAATTTACTAACACTTTGGTTGTATTTTTGCTCCTTTTAAAATATGTAATTAGATATATATTTAAAGGATGTAATTTACTATTTCCATCAGTGTAATTGACTAAATGCGTAAGTGCCTACTGCTATGTTAGCTACTTAAAAAATATATAAAAATTGGCTGGGCGCGGTGGCTCAAGCCTGTAATCCCAGCACTTTGGGAGGCTGAGGCGGGTGGATCACGAGGTCAAGAGATTGAGACCATCCTGATCAACATGGTGAAACCCTGTCTCTACTAAAAATACAAAAAATTAGCTGGGCATGGTGGCGCCTGCCTGTAATCCCAGCTACTCAGGAGACTGAGGCAGGAGAATTGCCTGAACCCGGGAGGCAGAGGTTGCGGTGAGCTGAGATCATGCCGTTGCACTCCAGCCTGGGTAACAAGAGTGAAACTCCGTCTCAATATACATACATATATGTATATATATACACACACACACACACACACACACACACACACACACACACACATATATATATATATATATATTAAGGCCTGCATTCCTGAGGAAGTTATTTTAGAAACAAGTCAGACATACACAAAAGCCCTAAGAATAAGAAAAAAGAGTGTAAAAGAATTAATATTTTGTATAATTCATATTAAAGTAAAACACACACACACATAAACACACCAAAGTTAAGGAAGATAGTAAAATTCATTTAATAGAGATGTTCCATATAATCATTTTGTTACAAATTTTGCATTTCCCGCATGAAAAAAATCACAGTAGGCACATACTAGAAGCAAAATATGTCAGACAAAAGCATCCTAAAGACGTTTCCATTATCAAACTTTTATAATTTTTCCAAATCTCTTTTGAGGTATGGGAAAAAATCTGGGGTATTTTTGGCTAAAACCAAACACACTCTATCCATGTGAATTTTGACTAGTGTTCATTCTCACCAAAAAAAGCACAAAATTTTCTACAAATTTCATGAAGTTTTAAATCAATGGTGTTCGATTTACATTTATCAGGAAATGATTTTCCCATCACCATAAAAATTGAATTAAAAATACATCAGTCTAAATAAATGCAAAAGAGAACAGTGAATTTTGTTGGATTTAGAGACAAAGGTATGTATTTGCGTGATCATGTATTATTCTTGACCTTTTCCTTTGGTGCAATTTGGAAGTAACCTGTCTTTTAATACCCTACATTGGACATCATCATTGCAATCCAAGTGAGTAGTTTTGCAACACAATTATCTAATATACACATGCTGCTTAGGGATGCAATGTTATCATATTTACCACCAGATTAAATAACTCAGGAAAACAGAACCACTAAGTCTTTCAACATGCAGAAATTCAGCACTCTTGATAGATTATGAGCTTTCATTTTCCTTCATTTTGAGGCTTTTCCAATTGGTCTTGTGTTGTTTCTTCATCTTTCTCCTTTACATCTGAAAAAAATTAATTTTCCATTTATATGTAGAATATATTGAAATTTATTTTATATTATATTGGAATAAAACTGTTGGTTTTCCCTTTGTCCACCCTTTCTCTTTTGTCCTCAATTCAGATATGGAAACTACACAAAGAAGAGAGATATGAGTAGGTTTGGGAATCTACTTTCTCCTCATCAACTTTCTCCTATTCTACATAGTTATTAAGTGCTAGGCAATCTTCTAGGGTATTCTCAGAGCCTCCATTTACAGATTACTAAACGGAAACACAAGCAGATTGAGTGACTTGTCGAAAGTCAGAGAGCTAGTGAGTGACAGTCACGACTTGAGCTTAGACCAACTGACTCTGCGGTCCATGTCCTTAGCCAGCTCCCTATGCAGGATTGCACTCTCTCCAGCTTCTTGACCCTTTCTACTACCTTTGCTCTTCCTCATTTTCCACTTCATAGAAAAAATAAATAAAGCTTCAGACAGGAGCTCCCTCAACTTCCTGCCATTAAATGTCTAAAACTCCCTGTGATCTGTGCTTATTCTTTTTTTTCCCCCCCACGAGACGGAGTTTCGCTCTTGTTATCCAGGCTGGAGTGCAATGGCGCGATCTCGGCTCACCGCACCCTCCGCCTCCTGGATTCAGGCAATTCTCCTGCCTCAGCCTCCTGAGTAGCTGGGATTACAGGCACGCGCCACCATGCCCAGCTAATTTTTTGTATTTTTAGTAGAGACGGGGTTTCACCATGTTGACCAGGATGGTCTCGATCTCTTGACCTCGTGATCCACCCTCCTGGGCCTCCCAAAGTGCTGAGATTACAGGCGTGAGCCACCGCGCCTGGCCTGTGCTTATTCTTTCTGCCCTTCCTGTTATTACAATGGAAGGTGCACTTGTCAGCACTGGGTATGTAATTTGTTGGTGCCCGGTGCAAAATGAAAATGCAGTATCCTTGTTCAAAAAGTTATGAAGAATTTCAAGACAGCAACAGTAGAACAGTAAACCAACTGCAAATCTCTTCTAAGCAAGAAGCCCTATGCAACCACCTGGTTGCACAATTTTTGAGCTGGCTCCTGCTGTTGCTTCTGCTGCCCAGTTTAATGCCTTTATGATTCCTCATCCTATCCATTTTTGCTTCATCAGGAGGCTGACTCTAATAATCATCTGCTGCTCTCCATTTTATCTGACTTTCCCTTTCTCCTGCCTCCGTCATTCCCTCAAGTCACTACCATTAATGAAGACTCTCTTTCAACTGTAAGTCTTCCACATACCATCTTCTCTTTTATCCTTTAAAAAGTACCCCTCTTTCGCTGTCTCCATTTTTAAGTAAAACTATTTAGGTCTACTATTCTTTCAAAATTGTTCCTACCATGTCATAAATGGCATCTTTGAAATCTGATGGATTCTATTCAGGTCTTCAACTTTCATTCATCAAATATTTATTAAGCATGTACTATATACAAGGCAATGAATAAAACATAAATCCAGGCTCTCAAAGAATACTTGATGAGAAATATGGATAATAAAACAAAATAAATAAAATGTGTGCTCAATAAGAAGTAAAAAGGGCTAATGAAGAAATTAAAGCAGGAGTGGAAAATAGAAATTTTCAAGAAGTCTTGGTGCCTGGAGGATGCAATTCTAGACAGAGTTAGCTAGGAATGCCTCACTGAGAAGTGGGCATTTGAGTAAAGGCTTGAGAAGGTGAAGCAGAATTCTATATTGATAGCAGGGAGAAGAGCACTCCAAGCACAGAGAAAAGCAAAACCGAAGACAGTAATATGCAGGAAAGATTTGCAAGTGGGAGGACAATGGCAGAGAAAATTGGAATGGAAAATGGAGTCATAGAGGTACCAGAAAAACTAGATCTTGTGGGTGAAAAATGGCAAATTTATGGACCTATTTTGAAGGTAGAGTGGACAGTATTTGCTTATAGATGGGATGGAGAATATGAGAAAAAGAGGGAGATAAGGATGATTCCAATGCTTTTGGCTATAACTTTGTTAACTGGAATTATGATTTGCTGCTCAGAGGTGGGGAAAATGCAGAAGGAGCTGCCACCAGGAGACTATCTGGAGTTTGCTTTTATACCCATTAAGCCTGAGATTCGTATTAGATATCCAAGCAGAGATGCCAACTAGGCAGTTAGTATGTGAGTGTGCAGTTCAGGGAGCCCCAGGTTGGAGATACAAATTTGTAAGTCATCAAAATCATGATCATCATGCCAATGAGATCAGATTACATTATAGGCGAGATTACATCACAGAGATGATGTCCAAAGACTGAATTCTGATAATCTCCAATTTACTAAGAGTTAGGGGAGATGAGGAAAGAGAAGCTCAAGGAGGAGCAGCCAGGAAAGCACGAAGAAAACCAGATGAGTGAAGTGTCCGGAAAGCCAAGGGAAGATAAATATTACAGGAAAGAATGACAATCATCTATGACTAAGGGATTACGCAAGATGAGGACTAAGACTGAACCACTGATTTTAGCAGAGACAATGTCATTGTGATCTTGAAACAGCAGTGGAGTGATGTGGTAACGTGAAAATCTTATTAGGCAAAAAGAATGAGATGCAGAGGATTTGGAGCCACAGAAGCAGGTAACTCTGTCAAGGAGTTTTGTTACGAAACAGAAATGGAGGGCAGTAGTTGGAGGGAGAATTGGGATCAAGGCAGAATTTGTACTCTAGTGATCATAACTGGTTTTCTTCTAATTAACATGGCAGGTGCTTAATAAGTGTTTATTGAAAGAACTCTCTTAGAAAAACAAGCTTAAAAGAAAATGGTACTCTATAACAGCATGAAATACAAAGCATTAAATTATTTCTACAGTAATTGAAGCTGCACTTGCCACACTGTAGTTCTAAGCAAACCACACACAAAGGTTTCTAGCTTTCAGGGAAGAGTTGCTATATCCGCTATCTCTAAGTTGGTTTAATGAGCAGATAATGATATGAAGTCCCCTTAACTTGTTATCTTTCTATGAAATGAAGTAAGAATTCAAGATAATAATTAGATGAAAGCTAACAAGATATCTGTTGTCAATCTAGTTTCTTGCTCAGGATTATTAACTAAACTATAAAACATGATTTCAAATACCTCTTATAGTCTTATTTTTTGCTTTGTAATGTGAAAGTGTTTAGAAATATATTGAAAGATGATTGCAGATACAAGGAAACAATAAACTGCTCAAGAGGTTATGATTGCTGTCAACTTTGCATTGTGATGTTAATGAAAAGAAAACTCTTTTTCATATATTAGGTACTTTCTGATCAACATTATTGTTATTCTTCAACCTTCTGTACATGTCAAGTGTTTCAATGTAATTGAATATATTTTCAACATATTCCTTCAACATAATTTCTCTGAGAGAAACATCAAACTTTCCTTTTAATTCGGCTCCTGGTATTTCAAATGTGAATAAGCTTTTTTGAACAGTTACTTATCTCACTTTTTTGATGATAACAAGAACTCTTGGGAAAGTAAGAAAATGTTGAGCCCTAGATTATCTGGCTTGATTCTTTCTCTAGAAGCCTAGCTTGAAAAAACATTTCTCCTACACACACACACACACACACACACACACACACACACACACACACGGTAACATTGATATAAACATTACATTCAGATTCCTTATTATATATCTTTTAGGTAACGTACTTTAGCTGTTTACTAAATCAAGCTTTTCATTAATATAAATCAGAAAGAATAGTCTATCTTTTTTTACATTTTCTATTTCCATCCTTGTGTTCTGCTCGTCTTTGTATCAGCTGCCTTTTCTACTCCTTGCCACATTTTCAGAGTGCCTCACAGAACAATAATTCTGCAAGATGTTTCTTCAGAGATGGTCAAATAAATGAGAGAAAGAAATGCTGTATGTTCTATTTTTTGAAGCGTATAGACACACTATTACTTTAAAGTCTCTGTAACAAAGGCTCTGAGAAGTCCTTGTCTAAAAAGGAAACATTCTGAGAAGTGTAAAAAGTCAATCACGTTTAAACCACCAATTCCAAACTTATTTGACCACAATGCCTTTTTTTTTTTTTTTTTTTTTTTTTTTTTTTGAGACGGTGTTTCACTCTTGTTACCCAGGCTGGAGTGCAATGGCGCGATCTCGGCTCACTGCAACCTCCACCTCCTGGGTTCAGGCAATTCTCCTGCCTCAGCCTCCTGAGTAGCTGGGATTACAGGCACGCGCCACCATGCCCAGCTAATGTTTTGTATTTTTAGTAGAGACGGGGTTTCACCATGTTGACTAAGATGGTCTTGATCTCTTGACCTTGTGATCCACCCGCCTCGGCCTCCCAAGGTGCTGGGATTACAGGCTTGAGCCACCGCGCCCGGCCCATAACGCCCTTTTTGTATGTAACACATTAACACCCAGAAGAATTCCCGTGAAACATTTCTTGAGAAAAGTTGGTATAATGGGAAAGACTAAGGCTTTGGAACCAGAGAGATTCTATTATCACTTAATTTTTGTGAGCTTGAGCAAATCACTTAACCTGCTTGGGGCTTAGGTATGGTAACATCTATAAATCAAAAGAGTGGGGACCTTTTAAGGCTCCCTTTCCTTTTCACATTCTGTATTTCCATTTGTGCTGAAAAGGTAATCTATTCATGTTGCTTGTCAGGGGAGAATTTCATTTGCACTGTTTCTCCTCAATCATATAAAATGTGTCCTAAAAATATACACTCAAGGCCAGGCTCAGTGGCTCACGACTATAATTCCAACATTTTGGGAGGCCTGAAGTTAGGCGTTTCAGACCAGCCTGGCCAACGTGGAAACCCCGTCTCTACTAACAATACAAATATTAGCCGGGTGTGGTGGTGGGCGCCTATAATCCCAGTTACTTGGGAGGCTGAGGCTGCAGTGAGCCGAGATTGTGCCACTGCACTCCAGCCTGGGTGACATGAGTGAAACGTCATCTCAAAAAAACAAAACAAAACAAAAAAAACCTAAACAACCACTCAAATATTCTGAATGTTTTTCTTTCTGGTCCACTAGACCTATATATCCAATTTCTTCATTGACATGTCCATTTATATGTCTCATAGGCATTCTGAAGACAGAAATCTTCACTCCTCCCACTCTCAAAATTGCCTGTCCTCTAGGCTAACCCTTCTCAGTGGATGGCATCAGCACCCGCCCGGTTGCTCTCGGAATTATCCTCCAATTCTCTTCCTCATCTCTGCCACATCCAACTCATTAGCAAGCCCTATTGATTCTGCCTATAAAACATATCTCAAATCCACTGACCCTTCTTCTTTCCCTGATGCCACCCTCTGTCACCTCTTGTTCATATGTCATCAAATACCATTGTCCTTCTTATCATGGTTATCAATTTATAAGGGATAGATTAAAACAGATTATGAACTGAGAAAATCTCAGGTTAATTTTATGCAGAATGCTAGACAACGGAAATCCTAGATTTCCTGCCACATAATAATATTTTTTAAAATTAATTTTTATATTAATAATATTTATTAAAAATTAAAAATAAAACAAGGATAGATCTGAGGGAACTCTGCAGATCTCCTTCACCTCAGAATTTGTATTTTTAAGTGAAAAAATTATTGAAACCATAACATCTGAGACAGACCCCAGCTTTCAGTTTTCATTAGCAATTGGAAATCATTCATTTAAAAATTCATAATAACATCTATGCTTAGCTAATGAGAAAAAGATAAGTTTTCAAACTACTTACTTATAACTTTGTTACTAATATATTATATATGTAATCTACCTATGTAAGCCTATTTCTTTTTGTGTATTTTTTTCTAATCTTTAACTTTTCATTGATAAATAAAATTATATATATTTATGTTGTGGTGCAACATGATGTTTTGATATAGGAATACAGTGAGGAGTGGCTAAATCAATCTAATTAACATATCCATTACATCACAAACATACACGTGTATATGTATATGTATGTGTGTGTGTACTGAGAACACTCAAAATCTACTCTTTTGGCAATCTTCAAGTATACAATACATTGTCATTAACTATAATCACCATGTTGCTACAATAGATCCCTTGAACTTATTTCTCCTGTCTAATTGTAATTTTATATCTTTTGATCATCATCTTCCTAATTTTCCTGGTAGCTACCATTCTACTCTCTGTTGCTAGCAGCTTGAATCTTTTAGATTCCACGAGTGAGATCAGGTGGCATTTGCCTTTCTGTGCCTGGCCTATTTCACTTTACATCATGCCTTCATCGTTTTATGTAATCTTTAGCATCTGGTGTTATATGTAAATTCATTTTTAACATTTTGAGTTTAACTGATCCCTTTGACTTTATTTCAAAATGATTTGAAGAAAAATATAAAAACAGGAACATATTCTTTCAGATCCTAGTCTCTCTAGTGACCAAAACAAAATGGAGAACACTGCTGACTCTCCGACAGTGTATTTGCTCTCTTTTGTTTAATTAAGTAATGTCAGTAAACATTAAGGTTTTGTGTGTGCTGAAGATGTATAAAGTTTAAATAGGGTTTTATACTAACAAGTGATTGCCTTCTCTCCCTCACTAGTTTAGAATGGACTCTTCAACAGCAACATTGTGTTCTTATGGTCACATTACATTTTCAAACTTAAAAGGCCAAAAATATTACACACATTTTTCTTTTCTTCCCTTCATCTTTTCCGTCTTTTCTTTCTTATAATATTTTATGTTGATGTGTATGCTTTTTTACTCTCACTGATAGTGTCACATATGAGAAAAAGTGGCCTTTGGAAAAAGTTGAGATACTCATGGAACTCTAGGATCTGGTCATAGTCCCTGACCTACAAGGATATTTTTCTTTTTTTCTGAGACAGAGTTTCACTTTTGTTGCCCAAGCTGGACTGCAATGGTGTGATCTTGGCTCACTGCAACCTCTGCCTCCCGGGTTCAAGCGATTCTCCTGCCTCAGTCTCCTGAGTAGCAGGGAGTACAGGCATGCGCCACCATGCCTGGCTAATTTTGCATTTTTAGTGGAGATGGGGTTTCTCCATGTTGGTCAGGCTGGTCTTGAACTCCTGACCTCAGGCAATCTGCCCACCTTGGCCTCCCAAAGTGCTGGGATTACAGGCGTGAGCTACCCCGGCATCTATAACTATTTCATAATGATTGAACAAGGAACATTTGCAACTCTACCTGGTAGCAAATAACCTCCTGAAGCAAAAAACCAAGAGCCTCCTTCTTAGGCTCCCAGGAATGGGCTAGATGTGAGCAGCCTCTGGTTCTCACTTACTTCATTGTCACCAATAAAAAATTCCCAAACAAATACTAGAGTACAGCTGAGAGTGTACAATGGGGCACAAAACCTGAGTAGTTTGTTAATGGCTTGGAATTAAAATTATCTTTAATCTTTCTGAGTGTATTTTTTTTTTTTTTTTTTTTTTTGAGACAGAGTTTCGCTCTTGTTACCCAGGCTGGAGTGCAATGGCACGATCTCGGCTCACCGCAACCTCCGCCTCCTGGGTTCAAGCAATTCTCCTGCCTCAGCCTCCTGAGTAGCTGGGACTACAGGCATGCGCCACCATGCCAAGCTAATTTTTTGTATTTTTAGTAGAGACGGGGTTTCACCACGTTGACCAGGATGGTCTCGATCTCTCGACCTCGTGATCCACCCGCCTCGGCCTCCCAAAGTGCTGGGATTACAGGCTTGAGCCACCGCGCCCGGCAATCTGAGTGTATTTTTTAACTTTGATTCAGGGTTTTTGTTTTTTTTTTTTAATCTCCATGAAAGTTTTTAAATGAAAGGCCCCTTTTAACACTTTATTAAAAGTACCTTTATATTCATTTTCAGGAGACTAAATTCTGGAAGCTATATAAACTGTATGTAAACAATGGAGAGAAAGACCTAAGATTTCCCTTCATGGTTTGACAGCTCTAAATTTCTCTTACTGTCATCTTTTCTCACTGACTGAAGAATGTTCACCTTTTATACAAAAATTCTCTTGAAAGAATTTCATCCCTACCTGATAGTAAACTTTTTCCTAGATATGAGAATTAAAGGCCTTGTAGCATACTATAGTGAAGCAGAAGCTTCCAAAGTGATTTGACAATGGATGGCAGAAGAAAAATTATTTTATTTGTGAATACTTCTCAATAAAATTGAAAGCTCATTGAGAGAAAATCACATGTATTCACCTTTGTATTCCCAATTACTAGCCTTGTGCATGACTATACACATGCAATGAATAAGTAAAACTTCAGTTTCCACATACACAGCATGAGACAAAAAGATAAAATATATGACTTTGGAAAAGGCTGAAAAGTCTACTAAGCCTTAAACAAAACCTGAGAGGTTTAAGGAAACAAATAAGGAAACTGAGCACTTTTAACTAGATAAAAGAAAGACTGTTCCAGAGAAAATGACTGGTTAAGAAGTGACAATGCTGTTAATTTTAAGAGGATATTGAGTATTACCTTCCTTCACAGAGAGAGCCTCCAGTTTGAGGGGCAAATCTGAGGTTCCGCCTGTGGCAGCTGAACTCTGGATGTCTGGTAAGGCATTCCGGCGGCCCGCCCTTGCTGAAGATGCAAAATTGGTGACCCCAAGTTCCACATCAGTCATTTTTGATGAATCTGTCCTCATAGCAACATCTACGAATAGAATGTGCACATGAAGAAGAAAATGAGCCTATTCAGAGCTAAATGTTCACCACAGTGGCTTAAAGGCATGGCTAGATCAAAAACACAATAGGCCTGAGAATCTAATCACTGATCACAACCTTCATCAATGTCTACTGCTATAGTCCTGGAGCATCCATTTGCACATTCGCTGAACAGAGCAGGAAGTCCTCAGTGTGAGGCAGATTGCTAAAAATAACCCTTGAGCTGAATGAGCCACTTGGATGCTTAAGGGTGCAGTAATCCCTCGCCTTTTGTTCTGCTTTTCTATGGATGGACCAGCCAAACCAGGGCTTGGAAGGAAATGAAAACCAACTTGTTTGACCACTCCTGTAGAGACTCTGCCTGCTAGTGTTTGCTTGTGGCGCTTGTTCAGGCTGAAACCAAATAACTATAATTTGTAGGGACCAAACAAAACACTCTGTTCCTACTTCTTGGAAATAAGAAAACGCCTTTATCTCAAAGGCATTTTCCCCAGAAAGAGCTGCGTATTTTGACATGTTCTGGTCTGAGACATGCACATGTGAAGCTTTGTTACATAGGTAAACTTGGGTCATGGGAATTTGTTGTACAGACAATTTCATCACCCAAGTATGAAGCCCAGTACCCAATAGTCATCTTTTCTGCAGCTCTCCCTCATCCCACCCTCAACCCTCAAGTAAACCCAATGTCTGTTGTTAAAAAAGAACTTCTAAAAAGTGGCCCTTGGAGTGGGCCTTCAACAGGGAAGAGAAATTCTGGGTTTCATGTTTATTTCAAGATCATTTTGCTGCTAGCTGCCTGCTATTTTAGAAGTTTTTGCTTTTGCCTTTATATTATTATTTCAGATATACGCTTTCTAACTTAGCCCTTTTTTGTAGATTGATGCTGGAAATAAAAGAATCACAAAACTGTCTAAAAGTTTGTTAAAGTAATATTCGTTAACTACTATTTTAAAACCAAAACCAGAATTGGCCATATTAAGAAGCTAAGTAACAAAACTGCTTTACTTAGGGGCTGTTCTTGGCCATGGGAAACTCACATTTGGTGCCATCTTCCTTTCAGAGTCTGCCGCTGATACTGACTGACCCATTTTTTGTCACCACGGGTAGACAGAACAGCTAACCCCACCCAGCCTCACAGCAATGTGGAAGATAACACTTTCGACACAGAAAAGCTATTTTCCTGACCAAACGTGTCAATGACCTAGAAATTGGTGGCAAGAACATTTGAATCCACAAGGTGACTGACTCTTAGCTGGGATCCTTAAACTCCAAAGCAAAGAGATTTATTATACCACTGGAGATAACCTAAAAGCCCATCAAGAAAAAAATATGAAATTTTTTTCATAGAAAACTATGTATATTATGTTGTGGAATATTATACCACAATTTTAAAGGATGTATTAGATTCAGTGACACACTGAAATAAAGCAAGTTTAAAAATTAACATTTATAGTGTGAGAGAAAAGGGGAGAAAATTATGAATACAATAAAATTTCAGGCCGGGCGCGGTGGCTCAAGCCTGTAATCCCAGCACTTTGGGAGGCCGAGGCAGGTGGATAACGAGGTCAAGAGATCGAGACCATCCTGGTCAACATGGTGAAACCCCGTCTCTACTAAAAATAAAAAAATTAGCTGGGCATGGTGGCACGTGCCTGTAATCCCAGCTACTCAGGAGGCTGAGGCAGGAGAATTGCCTGAACCCAGGAGGCGGAGGTTGCGGTGAGCCGAGATCGCGTCATTGCACTCCAGCCTGGGTAACAAGAGTGAAACTCCGTCTCAAATTAAAAAAAAAAAAATTTCAACTTTATACAAATAATAAAAATCCTAGTTGAGAATGGAAAGGAGAACAAGAAAAATATTAACCTTTTTTCAATACCTCTTTACATATTTTGACTTGTACTAATGAGCATGTATTACCTTTGTAATTAAAAAAAATTGAATCATCCACTTAGAAAAATTGTGAATAGATATTCTAGCACAGAAAGGCTCTAAAAGTAACACTTTGACAATTAACCAAATAATATCGTATCCTTAAGTGAAAGCTTATTCTTCCCCCAATAGACATCTTATTTATCTGTTGTTAGTTTTCTATACAACACTGATTGCATATGCTTGATTTTTTTTTTTAAAAGGGGTGATATACAAATAGAAAAGAGGCAATTGCTCTCTTTAAATTCCTTGTGACATTTAAAATATATAGCCCATAGAAACATGAGGAAATACTACAGAGAAAAATGACAGATTAACTTGAGGTTCTTTTAATTTTCTGGGCTTAAAAAGCTAATCATGTTTATGTTTGTTAACCAAAGCAGCTGACTCACTAGCAACTCGTCCTCTTTTTTCTTCTATAGAATTAACAAAGGACTCTAGGTGAGTGCTGCTTTTCAACTGTGGCTGCTTAGGCGGGAGCTGGAACCCTTTAGATATTTGGAGATTTCACAGAAGTTCTTACAATCCCACAGCAAGGTAATGCATACTACACTGCCTGGAACACACTTCTATCTCTATTGAAAATATACAGTTTTCAGGCTGCTTGACTAAAGACTATTACACAGTCATATACATGCTGACACCTTTAGAGTTTCTGAAATACTGAAAATGCAACACCAGCACAACTCAAGAGGACAAGATGTTCAAGCTAAATGGAGCACTAAAGGCATACTAAAAAATCACCAGTCAGAACCCACTGGGCTCCAAAGAGCCTGCTAAGAAAAGAGGATGTTAGTACGTTAGAAGCATAATTATAAAGAAATAGAAGTTTGTGCAAACTCTTTCTTAAAGCCAAGATTGCAAAATGGTAGATACCTTCTCTTCTCGTCTCTGGATACACATCACTCACCCTATCTTCCATAGTGAAACCACTGCTCATCTTATACCTAAGACTTCAAATAAATTTCCTGCTCACTAAATTAATTCTCTGGAGGTCTGAGTCAGACTTTCTGAAAAAACACAGAATAACAAAGAAGTAAAAACATGCATTTTGGAAAAAATGTCAGTACTTTTCCTGGCCAGAGACTGAGAGAGGAGAAACAGACAAATGGACAGACAGACTGACACTGGTCTCTACCGGTAAACAACGGCTTTATCTGCCTCTCTCCAGTCTCAATATCCTAAGGCCTTATGCTAGATGTTTTCAGTTCTCTGCCTACAGATCATTTATTTTTTATGATTTCATGTTTTGAAACACACAAACCTCTTCCAAACAAGGTGAAAGAACTAGAATTACTTCTTTATGTGCCAGTAGAAACAGGTCATTATTTATTCACCCAGTCATCTCTTGAGTTCCCACTAAATTATTGAGTGCAAAATCTTGTTTTTGGCCCACAAGTTAAAAAGAGTAACCCACAGTCTGGTGAGATGAGACACAGTTTGATCTTTCCAGTTATCTTTCTTGACCTCCAATCCTATTATTTGGAAATAAAGTAAAATTACCCATTCCTAAAATGTGAGTCCTTTACATATCTCCTATTCACTTAAGCAGCAAGATCATTTTGAGCTAAACAAAACTTACATAAAATGTAGACATGTATAATTATTTTTTAAACTTAGAAACCTTTCTGCTTTTGATATTTTTCTACAGGTGGTATTTCTGTGCCTCTAGTGCAAGTCAAAGGGAATGCTACCTTTTGTTTGTTGACACACACATTTTTTAATGCTTATGTTCTTGCATGATAATTGCATAGACAGATCCTTCAATATACATTGGTAGGTACATGGAAGTTATTTTTGTCACAGAGAATTTTTGACAGCTTAAAGATATACAATTCAAAATACAAAGTCAAATTAATTTTTCATTATTTTCCAGAAAAAGCACAAAACTGAATACCTTTCCAGCACAATGTTACTTCTTACACTAACATAGGGCCACTTACAACAATAATATACACCAATGTTGTTAATGATTAAATAGACTAATTGCAAAAACTATGTAGCCCCCTTGAGTATGTGCCTGTGTTTGGGGGAGGCAGATTTAACTGGTCATCTTATTCTTTTTACTTTCGTGCTAGAAAGAAACTAAATACCCTCCATATATGTATCTCCAATATATACCCTCCATAAAGGGTAGGGAGTTAGTTGGGCTTCTCCCAACCATTTGCAGCTTTCCAAAAGGACTTAAATTTCTCACATCATTGCAGGATATTACATTTAAAAAGATGATATAGTCCAAACTTCCAGATCCAGATACTTAAGTGATGCATCAACACAACATAGCTAATTTGTGTCGAATTCTTTCCTAAGTTTATATGGTACTGTTTCTTCCATGACCATGATTCCTCCTGCTGCTTTCTGTAACAAAAACCAAAAACTAAACCAGCTATCAACAGGAAAAAAAATTAAAATGAAAAAATTCATTGTACACCAAAAGTCTTTCTAAAATTTAAATAGGTTTCTTTTTAAATACATTATCTTGAGTGGGGTGTGTCTGTTTCTGTGGTGTGTGTGTGTGAGTGTGTGTGTGTGCATGCATGCTATGTATAGTGGGTGGTATCCAGAATAAAGAGTGGTATTTTTACTTCTCCTTTAGATGAGTATAAGTCTAGGTGGTTATAACCATAGAAGAGCATCCCTCCTACCTACATTTTACATAGTTTAGCCTTTATTTCTAGCTTCAGAGTGTTCAGAATTGAGAGGATTTGCACGGATTAGAAGAAACCCTTCTCATTCTTTTTTTCCACTTTACCTTAAGCCATACCTATACTCCTTCACTGTCATTTGTTTCACGTTATTCTTTTGAATCAGTGACTCAAATATTCTTGGTTCTTATTTTATTAAGGCACTGGAGCCTGCTTAAAGAAGTTGGGGTTCAATTCAGAAAGCATTTATGTAACACCAACTCTACAAAGCCCCAAGCTAGACACGGTAGAACTTGGCAGAATAAACAAGGTCTTCCCATGCCTTAAATGGCAGTCTGTGAAGGCTGCATACAAGGCACCTCTACCACATGAGCAGACGAAAAATTAATTATTTTTATTAATTCCAGAATAGAAA